CGGAGCTGGGTTGGTTCGGGGGACTCCGGGGGCAGCCGACGGGTACAGGCAGGCCAAGCTGTTAGATTTCAGTGGTTTTGGTTAGGTTTGGGTCTGAAAGCAGGAAGCTGCTAAGACACCTAAGGTCTTCCCAAGCACATACACTCACATTCAAGCACCATACATTCAAGAGAACTTCTCCTAAATTCTCTTCACACCAACTCTCTAGATTATGCCCTGTTGTTCCAAAACACCTCTACTCCCTGGGACTTATTTTCTCAACTGGGAAATCATCACTTAAAAAAGTGTGATTATTCCTTGTTTGGACCCAACTTTAATCACTTTAATTGGAACTTTTTGTTTCAAACAAAAACTGTGGTCAAAACATAAACACCACCTGTAGAAGTCCTGACTGTTTGACTGCCTGAATCCAGTCCACCAGTGCTCTGTGGGTTACAGCATCAGTGATGTTTGTTGATAATCCATCCATCCATCCATTTTCATCCGCTTATCCGTTACCGGGTCGCGGAGGCAGCAGTCGCCACCCAAATCACATTGCACCGTACCAACCCCCCAAACCTTCCTGCAGGTGGTGAGTCCACTGGAAGGTACCAACTGCCCTAACTGGGATTCAAACTTGCCCAGGAGGTGAACCCTGGGGTTCCACACCAATGACAGAGACATTGCCTCTGGGCCAAAGCACCACAGTTGTTTATTATCCAGGACTAAAATCAATCTGGTATCAATGTATTCAAATACTCCTCATTTGGACCAACTACTATTCTTAGGACGTACAAGCAACTGTTTTTAAAGTTTTAGACTTTTACACTGTTCTATTTATTATGATGGACATACAGTACATGCGTGTGAACTACTGTATAGAGACAACGACTCTGGTGCTGAGTCAGTACAGCACAGTGGTTCCCATACTGTTACCTTTTTACTCTTTCTGCAGTCATCTTTGACTAGGATTAGCATTCAAGATCCTCAATAGCTTTTTGTTCTCATATAATAGAGTGAATTAAATTATACTGAATTATTTACACCGCTGTTTCTGAGTCAGCACATCTTATCCGCTGTCTTCTATTCTTTACCTGACTGCTACAGAGGGACACGAAAGAGCACCTCCTGATGAAAACCAACTTCTCCTAACTTGAGCACAAACGAGCTAAAACTGCAAAGTGCCTGTTTGCTCCAAGAGCCTGGGGAAAAGAGGGGGCAGAATGCAGGAGGATCCATGGACACTAATCTCAGTCAGAGGGAGATATACAGGGAGTGCAGAATTATTAGGCAAGTTGTATTTTTGAGGATTAATTGCATTATTGAACAACAACCATGTTCTTAATGAACCCAAAAGACTCATTAATATCAAAGCTGAATATTTCTGGTTGCCAGCCTTTTATGCCTTGCCTTCAAGGATTGTTCAGGACTGGAGTCTGCTTCCAAAGTGAGTAAGGCTGGATGACACTTAAACTAAATGTGGCTAAAAAATAAGACAAAAATGATTCTTTTCTTTTTCTTTCTTCAGCTTCTGACCATCATTGGACCTTTTCTGGAGAGAAGACAGATCAGACAAATCTTCAGCCCTAATCTCGTTTTACTTCAGCAATATTTTAGAGAAGAGCTGGAGAAGTGTAAAACTCTGTTTAAAAGCTGGACTCACCAGGTATGTCATTTGATAGTTTTACATTAATCCTAATCTCTCTTTAAGACAAATGACCAAAAAAGAAAAAAATGAATTTCTTCCTCTCCTTTTTTGTTTCTGGTTTACAGGTAGAAAGTGGAGGAATTAAGAATATGGCTCACACTTCTGGAGCTCTAAAGTGGACAAAAATGCTTAGAAAACGTATTCAGACCCCTTGGGAAAAAATAAAACAATTTTTTGAGATGTAAGTAAAAACACTTGATTAATAGCATTGGATTATGACGTAATGGTAGGTTTTCAAGAGATGAACTTAAAGAAACAAAGGACATGGCTGAAAAATACGTGAGGATGGTGCAGATTACATGAAAGCAAGACAATGATACAGTACAGTGCATATATTGGCTAAGGTTGTGGGTAGACTACATCAAGCAAAACATCTTTAGGCAGATAGCATAGATAGCAGGTGAAGAAAAACCTAGAGAGGTGGTATAAAGAAATGAAATTAGATTCTGAGCAAGCAAGAAAAAAAATCCATGCATTAGGATAAAAATGAGCGAGAAAACAATAATGCAACAAGTGGAGAAGTAGACATGGTCAAATGCCAGTCAACGATTGAAACTGTGGACACTGAAAGAGGTAAAAGGAGGTAGGTTGGAGAGGGTGGAGACAAGTGTCAGATGTGATGCGTGGATGCGGGATAGTGGCGTGATTGATAGAAAAGGTTTACTAGACAATTGTGACACCAGCTGTGATGGTTGGATGATACGTTTTGTAGACATTTGGACTGTTTTAATGACAGGAAACAGAGCTGGAGGTAGAATATGCTGCAATTTCTTTAGAGAGTGACAGTGATGGAGGTTATAAAATTAGCCTGTCAGAGAGAAAGTTCAGAAAAAAAAGTTAGATAGCCCATGTGAAGATGGTTTGGATGTGTGCTGGGGACTGACAGGGCACGTGTTAAACAAAGGATGTGGAATTCATCTGTAAAGATTTACTGGAGTCAAGGCTTGATGGTTAGTTTTAGCCGAAGAACACATGAATAGGATGAGGTGAAATCAGATGATTTGAACACTGACCCTTAAGGGAGAAGTGGGAAAAGAAAGAATTGGACAATTGCCTATTTAGAAAAGAGTCCTGAAGGGCTTTTTCATCAGTCGCTCTCCACTCTCATGGATAGGTGTTGCAGTGGCTCTGTGTATGCGCGCGCACACACATTCTATTATCTGCTTCTTTAAAGAGACATTGACTCTGCCCCCATCTATGGCTTTAAGACAAGCACAACGGACAGAGCGAGGCAGTTGTGAATTCATCCCCATGGTCAGTGTAAATGTGTCTCTCTGAGGCTTTCTGCCTAGTTACACTGCTGCAGTCATGTAATGGGCAGCTTTTTAAAAAGCAATTGGGATGGAATTACTGCTTTCAACACACAAAGAAACATCTCGTTGCCAGGAAACATTTGAGCACATTTTGACCCTGCCTATTCACTTTGTTGCCTGTTGCTTGGACTGCTGCTGAGTGTACCACCACCCTGACAATCACAAGCAGAGCAATAATGAATAATGATGAAATTAGAATATCATTATGCAGATGCAATTCATACCATCTGTTTGTGCATTATCTCTTCAATTCAGGGATATTGTTACAGCAGACTGTGCTGCTTTGCAAACCTCCTCATGTGCATGTGTGTGCGTACGTGTGTGTGAGATTTGCTCTCAATGTCACACACCAGTGTGAGACACCGTTTGTCACCTTTATCACACTCTGAAGGAGCAACACTATGCATGTGCAGTACATAAAAACACACACACACACACAGTGTGAGCAGTGTGCTGGGACAATTGAACAATACACTGTGGTTGGTGGTGGTGTACATCACTCACCTTCCCTTTCTTTTTTCCCCAGTGTGTTTTATATTTATTATGTCCTTCCCTTTCCCATGGAACTTATGGCATATTCATCAGTACTGTGACCTCTCGTCCAATTAGGGTTCTAGTTCTAACAAAACTGAAGAATACTCTTCACTCTCAGATACAATGACCCAGATGACAGAGAACCTACATATACATTTAAGGAAGGAAGGAAAGTGAACTACTTGTTACTGTGACACAGCACACCACTGCACACAACAAAATGTGACCTCTGCTTTTAACCCATGGACGGTGCCATGCTCAGAGCACCCTCAGTGGTAACTTGGCAGCTAGTGGACACAAGTCCTTAACCACTTAGCCACCACTGTCCCCCTAACTAAACACCTGAGATGTCTCTGACATCAAAAATACAAGGTGGTGGGAAGATACATCACGACAAAACACGCACCACAATACAGCAGTGATTATCAACTGGCAACCTGTAGACCAAATCTGACCCGCCAAAACATTCAATCCAGCCCAAATTGTGAGGATCAAAGAGAAAATACCACACTATTAAAGGCTAAAAATGGCTTCAGTTTTATGATTAAAAAAAAAAAATATATATATAT